CAAGGGCTAATAAAGGGGCAGCTGTAACTCCTTGATAAGCTTATAGAATTATGAGGGGTAGATGTTAAACCTGCGCAAGTTACTCCCGTGGAACAAGTGAACTATTCAAAACCCCTCCATGGATGGGAACTACAGCCCCCCTCTGCTGAATTCCTTTTCCAGTATCTCTGGAGCTCTGCCTTACAGTAGCTCTGACTACTCCTCTAACATGCAGCATGCCAGCACAGGACAGAACTAGATATGTCTATCAAGTGCTGACACATCTATGAAAAACAGGATGAAAGTAGTCCATCATTTGTTGATGAACAGAGGCTGAATGGAGCCCTGAATTCTCCACGTCACAGAAAAACAAAATGCAAGCATTTTGCAAGCCACCCAAGGACATCAATGTCTATTCCTCCATGACAGTATTTTTTTCAGTGATTTCTAAAGTAAGTAGGCTGAACACCAGGAATAGTACCAAAGGTTGCTTCTTTAACTGGATAGGAACTGGTGTAGCTTTGCATCATTTTGCCATAAAAAAAATCTGAAGCCTCACTGTCCAAAAAGATGTTATTTCACACATCTCAATAATCAATACCTGAATTTTGATAATCCATTCATAATCTAAATCATAAGTCATAGCTTCTTGCATAGCTACAAAGGAAGTGCTGAAAATAAGTAGGTCGCATATTGCTATGGCAAATGAGTGTCTTTAGACAATATTGCATACCAGCTTTTCAAAGCAGAGGCCTACAAAATCCCAAAGCCTGTTTTATATCCAGGGGGTCTTACTACCTCTGTCTAGTAAGTTAGATCTTCATTTCTAATGCCACATTTGAAATTCACATACCTTAAAACTAGCCACCATTAATTTCAGAGCAGAGTACATACAGGTACTCGGACTGCAAACTCCTGCACTGAAATTGCTGGTCAACAGCCCACGGTCAACAGCCAAACTGGATGGGAACCAATGCCCTTGTTGATGGCTGACATCCAGGGATCATGCAGAAGTGCTATTCACTAGTCCCTAATCTAGAGTAATTTATAGTTCTGTTCTTTTGTGTGGGAAAAAGAATTCTGAAGTCACAAAGCCTAAATTTGTTTTACAAGCAGTTAATTTAGAATTGCTACCAACTTCACCCTCAGGTCCTGCAGTCCCACAGCATTCTTGAGTCACATTGATCACACGCATTCTAACACAGTGGACCCCGCAGACCACATGACTCTGGGAAACTATGCACTGCACCAGCAATATTCAGTCTTGAACCCAAACACAGAAAAACAAACAGATCTTGTTTCTTGCCTACCAGGAAAGGAGATGTTAGATGCAGTAAGAGGTAACTCTCCAGATGATGTACTCTTTGGTGCATTGCTGCTTTTGGCACTTGAAAGCATAGAGCATACAGAAAACATTGTAAAGTTTGTAAAGTACAAAAATGCTCTTTATTGTACTCATAACATTATAATATAAATATTTTATCCCTGTTTTCTGAATTATGCATTTTCTGCACAGTCATACCAAGTTCTTCCTAAAGATGTGGGTAGCCTGTTGCCCCCAAACACTTTCCCTCTCTTCCAGCACACAACCACTGCTGATGTACTGCTTGCAATTGCACTGTGCTCTGTGAACTGAGTGCATTCGTCCCAGGCTGTCACCACAGAGACAGTGCAAGCAGAGAAACTGGGAACTGAGGAGCGCACATTACCAGAGAGGGTCCCCTGAGGACACGGGAGCAGTACTGAGCTATGAAAAAAAGAGCAGCACAGGAAACAGGAGAGGCCATCCGTGCCTTTTGGTAAGAGGTCAGGTGTGCACGTATTTATTTCAGGGAACAACTGACCCCTTAATACTTAAACACAACAACAAGGAGAAGCACCTTTTGCCACACATTAGTGAGCTAAGACGTTGCTTTTATTCCCTCCTGCAACACTCTGCTGAAATACAAAAAAGGAAGGTATCGGTAAAGTTTTCAATGAGAGTAAAATGGCATGTACACAAATTGCATCTTGTTATACACTGCTTTTTTTTCCCCCTTCACTAAACAGGCTGAGGTTCTCCTGTCTCCTTATTTTCTTAAGTAATTTCACAAGAGTAATAAACTAACATCCAACTAGTCAAGACACATTCTCCACAACAAAGCAATACACAAAGTGAGCAAAAAAGATTTCACTGAGAAAGTTTAACTCCGAGATGTGTCATATCTGTAACAAGAAAACTTGCAAGTAGCTAATAGAATTTCTGCTTATGTTTATATTCAAGAAGAAACACAATCCCCAATTATAGTCCTGGTTTGTAAGGCTGGCAGAACACAAATGTTTGCAGTGCAAAGCTAAGTCTTAGTTTTAAGCTTATTTGAAGCGGCTCAAGGAATAAGGCTTAAGTGTTCAAGAGGTCCCAGAGACTGAAATAAGTAATGTTTGGTGACACTAATGAGCCCTCAGTTGGAGAAAGCTTTGCACCTAACTCTTTGCCATTTATCAAGATCCCCTTACAGTTAAGAATTCTAAATTAAAGCATTTGCTGCTGAAATACAGTAGAACTCCATAAAGTTGTGTTTGAAATTGTAATGCCCTTCAGTACACAGGTATCCCTAGTGTCATCTCATACACTTCACTTTGGTTACACATTTAGGAAATGCTCACTCCAGAGAGACTGTGGTACATGAGTAACTCCATTTATCTAAAACTATTTAGGGCTTACAGAAACTGTACCTCAGCAATCACTCGTGAGTTCAACAAGGCAAAACATTTTGTTGTGTAAAGCATTAAGTGGATACTGCCCTTAAAGAAAATTCTACAAGTTTTAAGTGAGCCCATGGCAAGATTCCAGCTGCTGCTGGTCATAAAACTGCAAAATGTCTGTTTTGTCACTGAGCAACACAAGACTTCTCATTCTAATTCTTGAGATGCAGTGTAAGCTTTACTCAGGGTTGGCTGCAATTTCTTTCCCATCACATCAACTTACAATTTAGCTTTCAGCTGGGTAAATACCCAACTACTCACTAACATTTGCATCTTAAAGAGGGGGGGGACAAAAAAAAAAGGCAAGCAAACTTCCAAGCCTTTAAAACAGGTGTTTGGTTACATCACTGATTTAAAAAGAACTACTAAGATATTGAAACTATCTTGCACTCTATAGATTGCCACTGTATTAAAGCACAATCCACTTATAAACCACAAAAACTCAAGCTAGCAGAAAAGAGGACGTAGGAGCTTTTATTTTCATTCCTGGGAATTTAAGGCATCATGTAACATTTTAAGTCATTCCTACGTCTAGATTACTAAATGCAACTTGGTGAAAAGCGTTTAAAATTCAGTCATTGACCCTGAACATTTATTTAGGTACAGACATTCAAGCCCTCGGAAGATTAGTATCTTTGCAAGGGAGATGAAAAAAGAATGACATTGCCACTGTTCTCAACCTTCACCCACTACAGAATTTAAAGCTTGTTTTTCGTGATGAACCTTTAACATGGAGTTCTTAAGGATACACACTAAATCTGGAGTTACTGTTTTTAACTTAGGTATTTTTTAATATGTCAAAAAAGCAATGTCTGGCTATAAACAGGAGCTATCACAGGCTCCAGCTCTCCTCTCCCTAAAAAACACCGTCATTAGGGAGGGAGGTTTGGGGGAAAAAAAGGAGAGATTATTGAGTGAACCAAATTTTAGATTTCTTGCCTTATTGACCTACAGGTTTGTGCTTAACTGAGGAAAAATTAATCCCTTTCAAATGCACTTAATTATAATCAAACACCCGTACCAATGTCTGTCACCACATCAGCACATCTGGCAGCAATGAAGACAAATTAACAGTAAGTCAAAAAATCTGGCAATATGATCAACTAAAGCATGCAAAACCCATTCTGTAAGCTTAGACCACCAGTGACTAAGGATGGATTAACTTCCTGCCTCTAATACTGGTGCCTAAATTAAAGGGAAATTGCATTGCAATCTGGGTACCAGGCTTCTGGCTGCAGACAACTAAAAGCCCTTAGTTCAGCTATACCAGGCAACAAAATCTTTGCTCTCACTTTAGCCCTGATGCCTGTGATGTCCTATTCTAACAGCTGCTTTTCATTTACTTTGAAAGAAGCTATTTGGCAACCAAGTTTGCACCTTCAAAGCAGGCAGATTTAAAAAGCCAATGTCCTGTAGAATTAACCATTTTGAAGTCTCACTGTTTTAGCACAGTGATGACAACAGGATTCACAGCTTTTTAAAATAGGCATCTGTTCCTGGAAACAGAAAAAGTGGACTGTGTCCACTCAGTTTTAACTACTGTTTATCTCTGATTTTGTATAGTTAGACACTGGGTTCTTTACTACAAATATAATCCAGCCAGAGTCTACAATTGCTCAACGTGACTGAGCAATTAAATAAAGCACAGATCTTATCTATAACCAGAGAAGGGCGGCCAAGTAAGGAACAGAAGCATGAATTAAACAAAAAAAAACATTATCTTATTCTTGGATTACCTCCTCATGTTGAGCAGGGAGTGGCTGCAGAAGCAAGAAAAGAGGGAGAAAGGGTATGGGAAAGCAAAGACTCAGGCATGCACTGCGTATTTGGCAAACACTTGACGCAGCCACTCAGAGAAGAGCTAGGTTACCAGGTAGATACGCAGTGCCATTTTTCTCCTTTTACTAAATAGCTTGATATGAATTCGTGCATCTACTGTGTATATCGCTCCACCAGATGCAGGCACACTAACAAAGGCACAGGCAAACTGCGGGTTCTACAGTCTTACAGGCATGAAAACTGAGATCGTGTGTGTGCACATTTGACAGGGGGAATTCACAAACTGGAGGATTTACAGCCTTGCTTTAGTTCAAACAGCTGCAACCAACCTCACCAATAACCATGGCAGGACCACACCCTCTCTTTGAAGATGAAGATATTTTACATAGTAAATCTAAAGGTACAAATTTAAGTCAAATAAAGGTGCAAACGTGCATCAGAAAGCACCTACATTTGCAACACTGTCCAAAACATAATTCACACTTTTCATTCTTCATACACTAATGTGGGTCAGAGACCACATGGCAGCATATTTTATTAAAGTAATGTGCAAATAAGATGCATGGTACCTGCAAACAGCATGGAGTTTCCATTTGAAAAAGGTACAAAATTAAAAAAAAATACAAAATTAGAATGCTTACTACTCATTTCAAGAAAATGAAGTCTGACATAGAAATACGTACACTGTATTATTTACATCATTAATTTACAAAACATATTATTTGCATTAAAAAAAAGCTATAAAATAATTACCAATATAGTATTTTTATAAGGTTTTTTTCCCCTGTAGAACCAATGTAGAGCATCTTGGAAATGATGCTTTATTGGAAAAAAAACATATTTTTTCTTCTGATTTCAGAGCATCATGTGGTTTCTTTCTTCCCTTCTTCTCCTTATTCCCTTTTTAAATAAAGTTCCATACTGAGGTAGTAGTATGTCAAATTATTTCTTTGGTTCCAGAAATCAGCAAGTCCAAAAGGAGCTACGTATCTGAATCACAGGATTGGAAAGGAGAAGTCCTGAAGTTTTCAAAGGACTGTTTGCAAGTATAAAAGCTATTTTCTCCCCTAGAAACTGTCCTTTTCCTTCCCTCTTCATCCACCTCTGCATCCAAGTCCAGTGTGACATGATGATTATTATGAGAGGTTTTTGGCTGGCAATTTGCTTGATGTCTACAGCTTGAAAGAGAGTCCAGCTGAGGCCTCCATAAAGGCTTTCCAAATGTTCCTGAAAGACAGTGAAAGAATGAGCACAGAAATACTGATGCTAAAAAACTTTATGTCTCACCCTAGTGTACATAAGTGGCATTGGAATGCATGCCAAGGACTGACAAAAGAAAAAGTTCACCAAAGTGAGATTTTACTTAAATGTTGTTTTACCATTTAAAATACAATATTCATGTGCTCACAAGCATAAGGCAAGATTCTGCCCCCAGAGACATTAAAAACACTTCCAAGTAGTTGTATAGCCACCCACAACTTCATTTCTTTTGTCTTCATGACTACATCCATACTCATTTTTCTTTGGGAAGGGTGGTGAGGGGGGAGGTGGGACCACAGACCAAACTGCAAACACATCACAAGACACCTAATGCAGAAGTCACTCCCTGTTTTGTTCTTCAGTAAATGAATGGCATGTGCAATCTGCCATGCAGTTCAGAAAAAATAGAATAGGAATTAAAAAAAAAGAAAGTAATCCCATGAACCTCGATCAGGTTATACAACACTGTCCCACAGTGCAATCTGAATCCTAACACAATCTTCTTCTGGCTAGCACCTCCCATTAATAATAAAGATGGAGATAGTGACATGCTCCATTCACTGATCATCCAGCCAGTTGTGGGCAAAGAGAACAATAGCAATCCAAAGAGAATGACACATTTCAGTTCAACTGTTATTAATAATGATCTGGATTTACCAGTCAGAAAACAATCAGTGTTAGTATCAACACCTCTGCAAGAAGGACCTTCTTTTTTCACTGAACAAAGATAAAGCCATCATAAATCATAGTGTCTGTAAGGACTTACTTTCAGAGGACAGTGTGTCACAGGCTGACTTTGAGGAAGTTTTTATTAATAATTTGAAAATACATTTTTTAATAAATTTTGAGCCCAAACAAAATGCAACACTTCTGCTTTTGTTTAGTTGTTAGAGGAAAAATTACAGTTTTACTTGAAACCCTGAGAAGTTATTAAAAAAGGCACTGGACAAAATCCCTATTTCCATCAATGAACTGTAGAGCAGTTTTGACCTAATGCAATATGAAACGATGCTCCTCACAGCACCAAAGCTAAAAATGAACTGTCTTATAAACAAAAAATCCAAGCTAAAAACTTTCTGGCTCGTGCATCAACCATGATGCTAATGCCAGCTGTCTTCTTCACTGTGACTGCACAAGCAAAAGGGCGCTTGAATTTGATGGCCATCTTGAAGAAGTGAATTCACAACTAAAGACAAGAAATCTATCACAACTTCTTCCACAGCCACCATCTCCAAGATCTAGCGATAGGCTCTTTGAGGGAAGAGTGCTAATGGTTATGAAGCATCTAAGGCATTGACAATGCAATGGAAGTGGGGTAGTATGTTCAGAGAACTGATGAAAGTAGTAACTCTGCATAGCTTCTTAGGGCAAGAGGACTATGTGCCCTTGAGGTGACATTAACTCCTGGATATATGAACATACAGTTGGACTGCTTTCTGCAGGAGACATGATAAAGCCCTGTCTGCATAGTCCCACCACAGTAATAGTGGCAGGCAGCCAGGAAGCTGGCCGTGTGCAGTCCCAGGGTCTCTGCCAGATGTCCTGGCATCTGCAACGTTTTACAGTTCAAACATCTGGCTTTTGAAGAGGGAAAACTTCAGAGCTTGTGCCTCCCTCCCCACCCCCTGAGAACAAAGAGCCCAGTGATGCACATTCCCCCAGGTCCCCTTCAGAGCCAGCAGACCCAGATCTCGATCAGCCAGTGCTGACACACCAGCTGGGAGACAATCTATGGTACCAGGGCTGTGTTTGGCGCTAAGATATCACAAGGATGAAAGCAGTATGTGGTTTTATATGCATTTTAAACCAAGCAACCAAACCAACATCCAAAATTTAATGAGCTTCGAGGATAAAGGCAATGCTTTTCTCCTTCCCCCACCTCTCCCTACAATCTGGATTAAAATTGTAAACCCTAAACTAAACTTTGGGAGTTCTTTTGTCATGCACATTATGAGAAAATTACAAATGAGGGATAGAGAGGGCATTTTTACATAGTGCCTTCTTTTGAAGGTTAAATAATTCTGGCTGACTGTGTTATACAATATATACACATACGAGTTCAAGTCTCCCCACCTGCCCTGAGCCCTCCTTAAACACCTTTTGTCTGTCAGGCAAAACTTATGCCTGAAGTTTGTTAAGGTATATTTAAGTTATGTATGCTAACATTTACAGAAATCTGCCAGCTCTATTAAGACAGAAGATAAGAATCTCATCACCGATGAGATTTTTATGTAAGTGTAAGCTATTAAGATGTGGTCATCTAAATATCCTCATTACACAGTTATAGTCACTTTTCTGTTCCTCAGCATCAAACATTTGGGAAAGAAAAAGCTGAGAAATCACTTTTGCTTAGTATTGTAGGAAGCAAGACAGCAAAGACAATGGCAGCTTGAATAAAAAACAACAGCTAGAACATACCCATGAAAGTGCTGTTACTTGTAATAGATGAGGGCTCCAAACTTCTGTTTAAATCAAATGTGTCTAAGTTGAGACTTTTGCTTTTCAGTCCAGCTCCTTCATTTTGAGTATAAATAGAGTTCATCAATCTGCTACTTGTAGCCGGTGTCCCAATAAAGCCAACACACTGGTCAAAGGGATCTTCCTGTGCAGGTGAGTATTGATAGCACTCCTTTTTCTTTAAATATCCAGACTCATAAGGGCCCAAGCCTGCTGATCTCTGCTCAGGGCTGCAACCTAAAGGAAAGGAAAAATTGATTTTATACTGATTCATCATAGCAATGATTGAGTTAGGCCTAAACCTTCCCTCCACCAACTTACTTGTATTGTATGCTTCAAATGCATCAGAACTGTAAGTGTATGTGTTGCCTTTTAAATACGAAGTCCCTGAAGTCCCCAGATAGTGACATAGGAATGGATCTGCAACACCCTCCAAGTCTGTTTCACTGCTGTTATCTAGATGGCAAATGCCTTAAAAATAAAATTGATGTGTCAGCACACAGTCTTTTCTGCATCTTCAGCTTAGAGTTTCCTAGGTAAGTTTTAAGAACCCCATGTGTTCAACTACATTTTGTAGTGTAGTTCAGAGTTTGCTTAAGTTTAACCTAATTTTTGGATGAGAATTCTAATTCCATCAACTGTTCAATTAATTAGCTTGACAGAGATGTGTCACTTCACTGTACAATCCCTGAATAACAAAAGAAAACAAAACCAGTCCCAGGGATCAGAACCAGGGACTTCCTTCTTCCAAAGCACAGAAGACAAATTCATGATCTGTCTGACAGCCACCTTCAAAGCAGAGTATCAATGTTAAAGTCCTGTTTGGAAGAATCTGAAGGCACTGACTGCCTAAACACCTATAAGGATTTTCAGTTCAATGGTTCCTGAAAGCTTTGGACACAGCCTCTGGTTCCTGATCCACGAAGAGGCTGTTCCTCTCACTACCCCAGAACTGCAAACCTGTCTCAGCATCATTCCCACCTGTCCCAGCTCTTGATTGTATCTCAACCCCAAACCTTTTCCCAGAAAGGTGCCTTTTCTTCTCTAGTGCAGATATGTACAGGATTCTTAGGGGCCACACATATAAATGTCAAGTACTGCAGGTTTTAACTTGCAGTCACCTTAAATCCTTTACTGATCCTGACTATAATGATTTTTTTAACCAGCAAGTTTGAACAGCTATACTTAAGTTCCACTGGTATTACCACACATGCCTACATTCCACTAAAAGCACACTTTTCAAGCTGTAAGAGAGGAAGACATGCCATGGTAATTTCTTCTGGGCACTCTTGTTTTTTGGCATATCAGTGTAAATTTACCCTTGAGACTAGAGAAAAACTTCCTGATTTAATAAACACCATAACATCATTTGGATGAACAGAACCAAGTTCCAGTTATTATCATGCTGAAAAAAATACCAAGCAATAAAATTCACACCCTCTATTAAATTTCTGTAAACATGCTTCTTTAGTGTTACTTCTATCAGTTAGAAAGACAATAGCCAAACTGCAGCTCCTCAAGTCACATGAAAAATCATAGCTTAGCATTTTCTACCTACCATTACTGTCCCTCTGCTGCAGAAAATACCCTCCTACAGAAGATGAGAGAAACTGATGGTGACTGCCATTTTCAGATGAGCCATATCCATCCTGCCTTTCAGCCAGTGTCCCCTGGGATGACAGGTAACTTGGAATGTCAGCAGGTAAATTTGTTTCATCTGTGGGGAAGCAAAACACATACAAAAGCCATTAGCATACTTCAGTTTGTAGAAACATTTTTAAACTTGTCAGCAAAGCACTGAAAGTAACATATAATTCATCTTTTTGCCTCCAAGTCGAAACACACAAATGTTCCTACAATGAAGTCACTGCAAAGCAACCACAAACATTTTTTTCTTCCTTTCCAAGGTAAACCTTCAGTTTACACACCTGTATTTGTGATGCTGCAATCTTCATTTCTCCTTCTGGTGTGGTAGATGATGACCACCCACACCAAGGAAGTGCCCACCACACAGCAAACCACAGCTATGATCACAATGCCAACTGTGGCCCATCCATCATCATCAAGTGATGGGGCAATGTTTTGAGGAGAGTCACAGGTGGGAGTAGGAATTACATTAAGACGGATGTTGCCTCGTTCTGTTCCAAGTGTATTAGACATTTCACAAGTGTATTTCCCAGCATCTTCTACATCTGTATCCACAATAATTAGTAACTGATTGCCTGCAGCAAAGAAATGTCTTTCTGTTACCACAAGAGGGCTGTCATCCTTAGTCCAGTTCAGTCGGGGTGGAGGGCTACCACCAGCAATGCACTGCAAGACTGCAGTTTCACCTTTTGTTACAGTTCGGTCCAGCAAAGGCCGCAAAAATGATGGTGTTTCTGGAAAGAAAGCACAAGCCTTATATTCTTGTAAGTCTTATTATTCTAATATTCTAAATGATCTTGCAAGAGTAATAACGTCCCTCTTCTTCACAGAAGAAAAAAGCTAAAATAAATGGCATCAGTAGGGCCTAATAAAGCTTACTCTCATTCTAAGAAGAAACTCAAAAATTTGTACTTAAAGCCTACAATTTACCTGTCAGTTGATCTGATTTACATGCTTGATTACAAGGTAAAAATGCCAAATCATGCGTGCTTATGACTGCAGAGATCTCCAATGAAAGTGGTTAACAAAATGTCAAGAAATCAGAAGTTAAACAAATCTACGGTCTCTAAATTAAAACAGAAGCCCCTTCTTTCCTCCATCACATGCGTACCAGATGCGTATACACCGGCAAACTTGACTAACTTTTATTATTTTGAATCATATTGATTGTGCTGTTAAGGTTTGCCAATATCTTACCTAGTACTGTTAATGTTGCGTTAGCTGAAATACTTCCAGCAGTGTTTTGAGCTGTACAGCTGTAAACACCTGTGTCCTCAATCTTTACATCAACAATAAAGAACACATCATCTTCAGGCATGACATGCATGCGCCTCTTGCGTGCTGCAGGAAAATCTGTTCCACCATCTTTCTGCCAAGCAATCTGTGGGATAGGGTGCCCAACTGCAGCACATTCCAAACGCGCCATTGCCCCAGCTCGAATGGTTAAGTCCATGGGGATTTTTGTAAATGAAGGCAGCACTAAAGAAAAGTTGGTGATACCAAAATCAATACATGAAACATACTTTTCCTTTTCTGAACACTGTTCATGAGCCTACAAACAGTAGAGAAATAATACAACCTAAACTGATCAGTAGCCAGCAGAAAGGGAAGGAACTGTGAAGTATGTGAAACCACCTAGATCAAAATCTCATTTCTGCTAACAGCCTCCTAGATGACCTTTCCACAGCATCTTGAAACAGAGCATATACTTACTTCCTGTAAGAAAAAGTTAACATTTTTCCATCTTGTAACTGATTTTGCCAGATATAATATGAATTGGGTATGTTATCTGGCTTTTCCTATACTATGCTTCAGCACACTGGGACCAGAGGTAAAACTGAATGGTGTCCTTGGAAATAGATAATTTTTTAAGAAATAATCTCATATTATGGAACTTCTAAAAGATGCAGATGATGAGAATGGAAAATCTATGATTACCTATCTTGATTAAAATCATTCTAAGTCCACAAGCAAAACATAACATACTTACTGTTTACTGTAAGTTTGGCTTTGACAGAGTAGGATGAACCAAAGTGATTTGAAATAACACACTGGTATTTCCCTTCATTACTGAATTCAACATTACGCAGTCGAAGGATGGTGGTGTACTCCATCACTTCTCCACCCTGGGCCCGGAGGTGTGCGTAATTCTCCATTTCAGCATCTTGCAGCAATTCGTTGTCTTTCTTCCACGCAAAAGTCATTGGGGAATCACTGCTGCTGGCTGCTGAACACACAAAACTCAAATTGGAGCCTTTAATTGCTGACTGGGTTTCTGGCTGGACAGTGATCTGTGGTTTAGGAAAATCATCTGCATGAGGAAAAGAAAAAAAAAATATATGCAGTGCCTGAGGACTCTTTCCAGAGAGTTAGTAAGCCTTGTTTTATAGGTTTGAGAGAAGAGTCAGATAAGCATTTATTAAATGTATCCACAATACCTTTTGTTTTAAATTTTGTTAGCCGTAGGGCATTTAAAGATGCTGTATTTATGAGTTTATTGTGCCAAGCCATCTCTTATTGAAGAGAAAGCACATTTAAAAGCAGACTGTGTGCAGAGTTTCTTCTATAGCAGCACTGAAGATGCGAGAACTACCCCCTGACATCCATAAGAACTATTCTGAACATCAATCATGAAGCCTACTTCTCATCTTTATAACACCTCAGGCTGCTCTGAGTTTTTCTTTATTGAAAGCATAGTTCTTCTGCTATCAGAAACTGCAAGTTACAGTTAAGGGTTTTACACAAACCCACAAAAAAAATCAAGTACAAAAGTCAGTGTTCCAGTGATCTGTGTCTGTTTGGGCCAAAGGGGATGGAAGGTCCCTTAAGCAGGGCAGAACACAGTAATTTCAAGAATTCCTGGTGGTCCCTTTACTATAGGAAAGTTACCTTCAAAGTACCATGTTGTGAGTTTACAGAATTAACTGTCTTCTCAATTATTTATTCAATTGTGTGTACACTGCATGCGCAAAAGGAGAGGGCAAGTAAATGTGTGGTCTCCCAAAAGCAAAAGCCTTAGTACATACCCAACTTTCAAGATGTGTCCAATCTTTGCATAAACTTCACAGGAACTGTAGGGAAAGCCCTGCGCCCCAAAAATTTCTCCCTGCAGACCCTGCTGTTTTTCCTAGCTCCTTTGTCTTATTACATCTCAAATGACTGGGAACAACTATGGGGTCAAAGTGTTATTTCCTTGAAGAACCTCCACTCTGTTATAAAAGAAAATGAGATGTGCAGATAGCCTAACCTTGAACTGTCAGCAAAACTCCTGCAGGTATGAAGCTGTACTTCAGTGACAGGGGAACATGGATCTGGGACTATAAGCATGGGCTTTAAGAACCTCCCAGGCCATTTGCTCTTCATGCTTCATACCCATGTCTTACCATTTGCAAATTGAGTTAAAACATTCACTGACTGCACAGGAATAACCAAGTAAAACATTCTAAGTACTTAAATTAGCCTTGTGACAGGATGGGAGAACATACTTCAATCTTAATTATCTGACAGGACGGAGTGATAAAAAGGTCACTCAAATAAGCATACAGTACAGAATACAGAACACACCAGCATTATAAAGACCTGCATTATATTTTGTCAGAACAGAATAATACAAGAGCATATTTGAATGACTGTACCACAAAAACACACCTTTTAATTTCAGACAGAAGTCTGAATTTCAGACACTTAAAAATTCTATATACGCAAAAGCAGCTATTGCTAACCTGCAAGGCAAGGTGCGTACACTCAAACGTCTAGTGGTAACACACTTTAAAAATATAACTGAAGCATCCAATGATTGCATTGGGACATTTCAGTTATTTCTGCATGGCAACTGCATTAAGTATCTATCAAGCTCAACAAGTGACTCAGTACATTTCTTTTTGCTAATAAGTCTTAAATGGTTTAAAATTAATTACTTAAAAACAGCATTCAGCAGTCAAAAGAAAAATCACAATTCCCACAATACAGCAAATGGAAGATGTATATTTCAATCCCCAGTTCAATTTTTTGACAAAATACCTTTAGCATAAATTTGGACGTCTACTTCTTATATACTCCTTTGACCCTGAGTAGTCTGTAATTCCCTGCATTATGTCAACCTCTCCTCAGCAGTAGGTAGAATCTGCTCCTTATTTAATTTATTAAATATCTGACTTCTAACAGGAAGGGAAAAACAACGTTTTGGTACAGTATTTTATATTCTGAACCTGCTTGCCCACTGAAAAAAGGGTATGAATAGCAACAGCAAAAATTAACCAGTTACATTTGCTATGAGAGGAAGTTATTGAGAAGGTCTTTTTGGTGCCAAAGAATATAAAGTTTGAGTTTTCTTTAGTAAGAAAATAAGATGTATTCAACAAAAAACATTAAATGTAGTTAGCTTTTAAATTTCCTGATATTTTCCAAGTCCCCACTTTACATATCAGAGTAATCAAACACATGTTCTTACTCTGAATGCTTAGCTTCACTTTGCTTTAAATAGAGAACATAACAGAGGTGCTCATGAATGCTACTAAACACACATAGGACAATTTCATTTTTAAGGCAGATACTGTCACCTCAAATTCTCAGGTCCTCAAGTAAAAATATTTTACTAGCACTTACTATCTGGCAAACTGAAATAAAAAATACTGGTATCGTAACTGTGCCAATCGCGTAATTTTTAAACACAGTTTATATAAAGACAGTAATTTACATACTCCAAATCATTTTTAAAGCAGACAACAAGCACACATAAAAAATGTCAAGAGCTGAGGCTAGTATGGCTTTTTTACCTTCAAATTTTATCAGCCCTGGAATAACCTCAAGACTAATGGAGTATGAAAAAAATTTACTAATAACCAAACCAAAAAACTACATCTTAATTTTGCCAAAATATGTCTCATTTAAAAACGGTAATTATCTAAACAGTATCTTTTACATCTAGAGGCACATAAATTTACCCTCACAAACTACTGAGCTTTCACTTGCACGTTCTGTGTTCTATGTAAGCAAGCTGTACTTGAAATTTAAGTCAGAATACCATCACTCCTTGTCTTGTACAAAGCCACGGGCTTTGAAAATCTACATCACGGTTTGGGAACAGAAGATAATGTTAGTATCACATCTTCTCCATTTTGTTATAGAAATCACAACATATCAAGAAACCACAAAAAATCCCAAGCACACAGCAAAATTTTTTTTATGGAATGAGAAATAGAGCCTACACTCACCACAGACAAACTCATCCAGGCTGACAGCAAAAATACTTCTCCCTTTTAGCAGCTGAGGATGGGCACAACTGGCATTCACAAAGATCTGGAAGTTGTTCTCTGCCATCCACTGTGGTAGCCATTTTAACTGGCAGTCACACAAAAGACTTGATGTGTTGAAGTGCCTAAGAAAAAGCAATTAAAATCGAAGGCTGTTTGTTGTTTTTTCAGTTTGTAATACAGATCTGTATGAGCACACTTTTGTAACAAAACTAAGGTTTTAGCTTAAACATATATTGCAAGAGAAAGACAGCAATTTTGTTCAGCTCAAATCCCCTCCCTTGCCTGGCTGGCCATGCTGTGCCTGATGCCCCCCAGGACATGCCTGGCCCTCCTGGCTGCCAGGACACTGCTGACTCAAACTCAGCTTTACCTTGGCCAGGACACCAGGTCCCTTCCCACGGCTGTGCTTTCCAGCATCTCATTCCCCAGTCTGTCCATACACCCAGGGCTGCTCTACCCCAGGTGTAGAATCCAGCACTTTATCTTGCTCAACTTCATACAGCCCTCTCGTTTGTTGAGGTCACTCTGCAGGGCCTCCCTGCCTTAGGGGGAGTCAACAGCTCCTCCCAGTTTTGCACCATCTGTGAACTTGCTCGGTATCCCTTCCAGTGCTGTGTCCAAGTCATTTATCAAGAGCACAGGGCTGAGGATGGAGCCCTGCTGCACCCCACTAGTGACAGGTTGCCAATTTGATGTCACCCCTTTCAGTACAACCATGAGCCAGCATTGCTCTGCACTGATCAACAGAACAAAAAGGTGAGAGGACAAAAACCCATCCACACTAAAATACATTTTTCGCAGTGACCGCTTCATGACTTCACTGAAAATCTGTCTCTGCTACAACAGGAGAGAAGGACCCAATTACAAGCACTGACAACCAGGTCTTTACAAAAGAATTACAGCACTGCATTTCACTGGTCCAGCAAGCTTTAGCTTAGTGATAGCACTGCTAATCTTGGAGCACATTACATCAAAGTCTTGCTTATCTAAAACCTGTTAGAAATCACCCAATTTAAAATAAGGACTTTAGAGACAATAAACGTAGCAGAAAATGAATGCCTCCTATCCTACACTCTCACATAAAAAGTAAAAAAACCCAGAACACTGACATAGCTTTTCATGTTATTTCAGAGAGATTACAGCAGGGGTTTATCACTGCATCAGGCAATGTCTTACAAGGCTTTTATTTATAAATTTTCAGGACAGATATACCTAATAGAGATGGTATCTTTTGATAGAAACTTACAATTCTTTGAGTTTCTTCATTTGTGAAAATGCATTTCCTTGAACTGACATAATTGCATTGTTACTTAGATCTCTACGAAAAAGAAAGAAAAATAGGATTAGAAGAAAATAATAATTTATTCAACTGAGTGGATTTAGGACTCAAACAATAGTTTTCTATTTTAGTGATACACAAAACATGCTCAAGCTCAAAAACAAAAGAGACACAAATAAGGAGTTCCATAGCATGCTTAATATGTCACACTCAGTGTAACTCCAAAACTGAAAAATCATCTCAAGACCACAGTAGCAGCCATGGTAAGTGTATTTCATACCAGTATACCAGTATCAAAAATGGTTTTTTTCAATTCTGGGTTAAATGTGAACTTCTGCTACTTACAAGTGTTCAAGTGCATCCAAACCAGAAAATGCTTTCTTTGTAATGGATCTAATTCTGTTTCCTTGGAGTATCCTGAAAATATTAAGTACATGATGCAGAAGAAATCAATTAAATGGGAAGATTTTTGAGCTGAATAATTGTATTTTTGGCGTTTACTTTTGAACTGTGACTAGTATTCACCACTCATCCATCTCCAATGCAGCAAAATGTACCACATCTAAAAGATACTAATTTATTCCCCCTGAAAAAGTATCTAGATTTTACAATTATTTTAGAAGACATTTAAGGTGTACAGTTAAGTGACATGGATTATTCTAAATATATAACTGCAAACATATTTTAATTTCATAAATCTGCATTTGAAAACTTCAATGCAATGGAGCCACTTCCACTGGATGCAGCTTTACCTTACTGAAGACTAAGCCTGTCACTATGCCTTTGTCATATAATACATTTACTATTTCTTTGTATGGGAAAACCTCATTGTTTGATAAATATGTCCATAAATAATAATAATACTTACAATATTTCAGATTAGTTTGAATTGGAAAATCTTGAATTTCTTTTTTTGAAAAGGAACATGTTATAGAGAAAAAGGTGATAAGGGAGAAAAAAAAAATCATCTCTGCTATGGAAAATTTAGTATCTTTAGGTGCTGGGCTTGTCCCTTGAAAGACATATAATGAGCTAATATGTTTAAGGCATGATGAGATACAAATATTGTAGCAATACTTACAGCTTTCTAAGTTTATCTAGGCCAGAGAAAGCACCATTCATATCTTCAATAGTCCATGATATTTCATTGTTTTTCAGATCCCTGTTTAGGAGGAGAGGGGAAATCAAACCACAAAAGCTATTAAAAAGAACAAGGCACATACTTCAACAGCATGTATTACTTTAAAAAAAATTCTAAAATAGCTTTCTGTTAGGTTGGATTTTTGTTCAGTTGGTTTTTGTGGGTTTAAGAGAAGCTTTTCCTGATTAACTTTATCATTTTAATTTCTACTGAAAGACTTTGAAGACTATTAGTATTTTTCCCATTGATAATTAAAAGTATGACAACCTCAACTATTTTTAGAATCGTGAGCAAACCAACCCACATATCCCTCCCAGAGGTATTCAGGTACAGGACTATCTTAAGAGAATGTGCATCACAGGAAGGGAAAGGATCAACTGTCATCCCTTTGAAACACCCTCACATTTTTTTAAGTCCATAATAATAACACCCAGAGAATCATTTTAACATCCCAAAACAGTTGCTTAATTATCTATGAAGCATAAAGAGATTAGAAATTTGTGTACAGAATAGTGTGTCAGCAAACAATCTACAGGGTCGGGGTAGAGGAGAAAGAAAAAATCTAGGAGAAAAAGCCTAATATTTAATACCTCAACACCTTGCAATTCTCTAACTTCCTCTATTTATGATCTCCAACTCTCTATATTCTTAAAAAACACAGTGTACACTCCTCTAATTTTCATCTTTCCTAGATTCCCTAAGTGTGAGTATGTTAGCAAACCCCTGAAAATAAAGCCTAGAGGGAAAGGCAATCATTTTGCTCATCTGGCTGACAGATGGGTCAGTGGTATGCAATGGGAAGGTTTCAATGAAGAGGAATGTATTTAGATTACTTTACTTTCTTCTTTCCCTTCCTTCAAGAAATGCTATTGCAAAACATGCTATAATACTTAAAGCAATTGTCCAGTCACGACAATGAGTTTTGTCTTCTTATTTCTGCTGTGAGAGAAAATGATTCAGTTAAGACACAACTACAATCCAGATCCCTGAAACTGTGGGTAGCAGTGCTCTGCTTGCTGCCTTCAAACAGAGATATGCCTCTCCCACAATAATGCTACTGGAAGTTTGTATCACATTTACCACCAACCACTGTGCACTGCCTTAACAAAAGAGAACTCCTCCCTTTCTCAACTATTCTGGAAAGCAATTTTACTGTAAGAAAATCATACACTGATCAGGGGAAGTTAACAGAATGTTCTTAATGTTTCTTTATTTCATTAAAAAAAAGAAATAACCTATAAACACAGCATTTTTCTTAAGGTTTTTGACCTTACAGATTGAGTTTGTCAACTTACAAAATCTGTAGACTGGAAAGTCCCTTGAAGGCACAATCAGCAATGTAATTTACTTTGTTGTTTCCGATGTACAGTCCAACCAGCACGCTTAAACCAATGAAACTTGAATCATCTAACCTTGCTAACTGATTGAATGTCAAATCTCTGCAAATTTAAGGGGGAAAAAAAACATTTTAATGTTCATACTGCAGTGCTTATTTAACTTAGTTCAACCCACATGGACTTTCAGGGGGGAAGCACAATTTTTCCCCTTATGACTATCATAGCACCCACTACAAGACTTCTGACCACACAGCATTTTGCATTGTTTTGAACAATTCACAAACTACTGCAGAATTAAATTCTCTCATTTGAAAATTACTGTGTTACAGCTTTAGTACAACTGCTACAGTGAAATGGAGCAGTCGCAGCTAACTTCAACTTCTTTCAACAAGATGTAACTGTCTTATACAGCAAGGTTGTTGTCACCTTGGAAACTTTGCTATGAAAAATTCACATATCAGTGCTAAGAAGCCCATGTTTTGGCATGTACCCGGCTTTTGAAACTGTTAGAGAATAAAGGTACTCACAGCTCACTGAGTTTTTGGCAAAATTCCCAGGCATCAGGACTGATCCTGCTGATGGCATTTTGGCTGAGATGAAGCTGCTGCAGCATCAGTAAGCCATAAAGCCAGCCTTTGGTTACCTCTGTTAAGTTGTTATGGTCCAGCTGCCTACAAACACCCACAGACAGAAAAAGACGTAAGTAAAAAGAAGTAAGGTTCAGAAACTCAGCAGCATTCATGCTATGCCACAGTCCACATCTGACCACATTACACTGGCTAGATAGCTGGAGCCTCTATTAAAATCTTGAACTGTATGCATGCACTTAGAATGTGCTTCTCTACACAATCACTACTGACTGCTTGCTCCTTTTCAGACCACAACAAGACAATTCAATTCAAAAAAGCCTTTGAATTTTACCATGCAATTCTATTAATTAAGTTTGTGCAAATCTAGTTTATATGCTTTCAGCAGCACCTACCAGCAAATGTTTGATACTTACAAGACTTCCATGTTGGTCAAACCCCAGAAAGCACCATCCATGAGCCTCGTAACCCCATTTCTCTGCAATTTTAATGATTTCAAAGCAGGAAGTCCTTGGAAAGTGAGCCCATCTATTTTTCTGATTTTATTGCGACTCAGCTCCCTGCATCAATAGAATTTACAGTTACAGTACACTGATTTTATCAACATGCCAACAACCTTTCTTCCCTCTCTGAAACCAACTTTATTTAAACACTTTTCTTGCACATGAGACAAAGACAAGAACTAATAAAAATCAAACATTTCATCAAACATGAACACATGTTCAACCATGTTAATACTGTTCTGCCTTTCTGATACTGAGGACAAGTACTTGGTAGTTCACTGATTTTCAGACTTAAAGAATCCCTGTAGACCTAGAGTGTCATGGTTAGCCCTGTTCCCAAATTCAAAACTGAAAATGGTGTTTATCTAGCAGTAGAGCTCTTAAGATTGGTTTGTAATTGCAATCAATGAACAGACAAGAAAAAGTTAAAATTTCAGTTGTGATAACTAGACAAAATTGAACATCCTCGGTGATCTTTTTCTTTATCTGTAGCCAAGCACAACCAGTTATACATAGTGCCTTCCCTCTCTCAAGTGGTCTTGGCACTTACCCTCCTGCCACTACACTCACCCTGTACAGGTCAGAAACTGGGAGCAATGGGTATCCTGTGAGGGAGATGTAGGGCATAACTAGCCGGAGGGCAAGATGCAGTGACGGGAGTAGACAATACTACCAAAAGATAGTAAAACAAGTGATTATCTGCCCCTTCAAGGAAGCCTTAGGTTTACCAAACTAGGAAGAATCCCTCCTTCCAAGACTTATTTCCTCATGCAAAGTAAAGGTCTCCCCACAGTTGTACCATCATTATTTTTCAGAGTCATAGCCCTGTAAGAATTCAGCTTTCCTCTATGGCAGTCTGACACAAAATCTACCTGACAACAGACCTGAGAACAGAGGGAGAATTCTACTTCCCATATTTTGTTTAAATATGAAGAAAAATTGAAGAACATTCAGTAAAAACAGGCTTTAGCTCTTCCCCATTCTTCTCTGAATAGTTACAGGTGATAACACCAATTTTTTGCCTTCCTTGCAGATAAGCAACCTAATATACCTTAGTTAGCATACTGGTTATGAACAAAAGGAACATTTTTAGGCAAGAATATAACCAACACCCAAAATTCAAGGTGAATCTGAAGATCAGAAAGTCTACCAAGATCATTAACAAATCCTGAGCTTTGCAGGACTGTTCTTATACTTTTCTACTGAGGCCTGAGTAAAACCATTCCAACTCTTGTACACAAAGAAACAAAGTCACTCTTTACAGAAGTGTCAAGCACCCTAATATTTCAGTGTTCTTATAACCTATCACTTTCAAGGCTAACCTAAGACACTTTGTCATTTTTAACTCCTGACTATCTGATATGAAAAATAATTATCCAGAATTTGACAAAGGGCAACCCATTCTCTTGTCCATTTTCTGCACTTTCTAAGTCTTCCAATTAAAAAAAAAAACAAACACAGTCTCTTTCATGTAACTTTATTATTCATTCAGTAAAATATTTATGGACAGGACTGTATCAGTAAAGCTGAAAGTCTATTTATTCAAGCATATTGCTTATTGTCATGTCATCTGAAAGTAAATGAATTTCCTTCATTTCACTGTGAAAGCACAAAGTAAATGGGTGCTGCAGTGAACTATGTAAGTTTAACTATATAAGTTTACTTTACTTACTGTTTTCCTGATGCTTTTTTACAGAAATTTTGCCACTACCTCTTTTCCAGACTTTTTTTTTCTTAACTTTTAATAGGCAAACACAATTTTAAACACAAAGACTGTTCACATTTCACCAACATATAAGACTAGTTTTGTTCAGCACAACGCTGCAGTTAGTAAAGGTTGTAGTAATATGTTTTCTCTGTCTGTCTCACTCTGCCTCTGGTTAAATTAAAGGCTAAAGTTCAAGCCCTGCCAGTGCTTTGGAAAACCTGAAAACAATTAGTCAATTGTAGGTTACACTTACAGGTGCTGCAGATGGGACAGTTTAAACATCTTTTGAGGAATTGCTGAAATTTTGTTCCTGTTCAGTTTCAATACTTGAAGTGTGGTAGACAAATTGTCAAAGGTACCAGGCTCCATAGAGGTTATTCGGTTACTGTTAATATACCTGTTGAAACAATGTCCAGAAGGTTAAATTTACAGTTATTTAATAAATTCTTAACACCAAGTAGTGAAACACAAAGCTCTTATGGTGCTCAGTCATTTATAAATGTATTTTTTTCACATTAATTAGAGCTCTTGACAGCTTATTCTATAATCAAATAGTATTTCACCACCACCATTGTACTCTTCTCTGCCAGAGTGTGATAATGAAAGAAAATAGTATGTGGCAATCCTGTTACTTTTTTATCATTCGGTATATCTGGCATTGCAATATTCCTGAATAAGAATTAAAGTGTATTCACAGTAAGTCTATCAAACCATATATAAATACAAGCTAGCCTATCCATGAGGAATTCAAGTTCATTTTATCACATAATTATTTCTCTCAAGAGATACATCTATTTGTTTCATCTCAAATAATGGCCTTAGCTTTTTTAATGAATTAAAACATCTCACTGTAACAACTCATATATTCAAATTAGCATCTTATATTAAACTAGACAGGTGAAAGCAGGAATATTTAATGTCATTCCAATTAAAAGAAGATTTAGTACCTTAATAAACAGCTGCCAATCTAAATTATCCAACAAATTTTTGAAAGTTACCTGAAAGAAAAAAGTAATTTTTACTTACAGATACTTGAGTTGTAATGATGGAAATGATGAAATTTTTAGCTCCGATATGTTATTGTTGCTCAAGTCCAAAGTCTCTAGACTCTGAAATGGCTTCAGATGTTCAGACAAAATGTTGGCTATCTTGTTATTGGTCCTGGAATTTAAGGGCAGTAGGCATAAGACTGTCATTTCCAGAGTAAATACATCTTAAGTACACAACTCTGGCAAATATTAGTTCTTAATTCCCCTACTTGAAAATAATTTTAAGCTACAGAAAAGCAATAAAGTATGTTCTCTATGCATAATATTAATCTGAAATCAAAAATTGGAATAGTCTAAATAAACTTACATTAATATTTCTTAAAATATAATTCCAGGAAACGATGAAAAAAATGCAATATCATCAAATTACTGCAACTCATGGCTTTAAAAAAGCGATGTGTAACTTTATAATCACCTATTTCTGAACAGTAGAAATACCTGGTACTTTCATGGAACAGTATGGCACAGTATTAGAATGAAATAAGGTAAAAAATGTCTTCTATTTTAAGCAAATTAGTATCATAGTAACTAAACACAGTGTTTGGGGTTTTTTGAGAATTCCCTTGGCATGGAAGTCCAACTGAATTTCCAGAAAAAAAACCACAGAGCTAGATCATAAAAGATGGACAACAGTGCAGCCCCCTCAAAAACATTCTCTAATTGTGGAATTAGACCTGGTATTTCAACCTACAGATTTTTCTAATGAGTTGGCAAAGAACAAAAGTTCTGCATATTAGAGGTCATTACAGGAGTTTCGGACTTGATGTCTGGTCAAACTTCAGCTCAGCACCACACCCAATTCCACAAGAAAAAGTAGGCAACAATCTGAAGATTGTGGGTATTGTAGTCTGCTCTAAGGAAGACACCTTCTTTCACTTTCACACATGAACTTTTTCCAATGACCCTATTTCATGCTCATACCCAGTAACCTACCAGTTTTTCAATCTCAGCTGCATAATGTACAGAATCATACTTGCGCATCAGCAACATTATTGTTCAGGGCTACCAATACATAGGCGAAAGCAGATCATGACCAATTAAAAAAATTTAACCTGAAATGGTTCTTGTTACCTTGTAAGTTCAAGTAAATTCTAGCTGCGGTACATTCTGCACCTTTTTTTGATAATTACCAAAATTTAGGAGCTTTCCCCAGATCCTAGAGATTGCAGGCAAATGCAATTTTAGTAAAACAATCAACAAGAACATTAATTCTGGAAGGCGTTTACCTTTACTGGAAACACTTGCTCTGGATCAAATAGTAAACCACTCATTAGGGTGGCATGGACAACTCTCATGTATTCAGGGGGTGTGGGCGAACTACTGCTCAAGACAAAAAAGCCTTAACTAACAAACTGAACCATAAGTGAGATTAATGGGCTTTCTGACCACATATGGGAATGGGTAAGTGATCCTGCAGCCCCTCCAATGCTGAGCTTGTATCACGTTTCATTCCTTAGGCTGTCTGGTAGAGGTAAACGGCATTTTTTAACTCTTAGCTGAAAGTATTTATAATAAATGGAAACAAATTACTTTAATAAAAAACAACAACAAACACCATCACCGTGTGTCAGTTCCACTGGCCAAATAAGAATGTGAGTTAGATAACAGGTCACAGAGCCTTGCCTTTATGCATTAGTTTGTTTACAAGGTAATTACTAACAAGGTATTAAAACTGCCAATTACTTGAGTGACGAATAAAATTTTCCTTGCAGTAAAAGTGTGCTCCAGCAGAAGCCAGCAATTTCCTGAACTGCACGCCTCCTAAATTGCAGTGTGAAAGTGTTCAGTTATAAGACGGCTTGCACAGTACTGTCTTTGTGTCAGCACTGCTCCATAAAACAGAAATTCCTCACAACTGGCAGGATAATAGCCCCTGTATTACAAACTTTAGTTGGACCTAATGGAACTGAATAAAACTCTTACACCGTCTTCAGAGTAGCACTTAAACCAACTGGCAAATTATCTGACACAGACCAGATTACAACAAAAACAACCAAACAAAAACCCCTCAGCTTGTTTGTTTCAGGAGCATTTTTCTTTTTTGGAGATGGTAAGGCCATACTGAGGAGTGACGAGCCAACTTATTCTGCACACTGAAACTGCACTACACATCATAGTCCTATAGTCCATCTCACAATCAAAATAAAACCAGCTCTCACTGCACCTTCCTGGTTAATCATATTAACCAGGAATAGTAGAAGTTACTCAGTTGCAAAACAGCTGAATGGTTCACTCTCTATTGTTCCAACACCCTAGCCCAGTTTCTCTTCAAAAGACTGTAAGTATAACAATTCACATGTGGAAATTACTCAGCACTGAATTCTGTAGCATATCCAAATGGTTCTACTTCAAGACCCAAGTCTATTTAAAATGAGAAAGTTTAATTCTAATTAGATTTTTCTTCATAATCATCACTTAAGCAAATTAAAAAAAAAATATACCATCTTCCTCATAACTGCCAAATCACCATCAAAATTAGTCAAGAAGCACATACTTAAAAACACAGACCTATCTAACTGTCAAGAGAGAACCGAAGAGTAGACATGTGGGCACAATGACATAGAAGTTTTTCCACTGAGAGGATGGTGGGGGTAAGAAAACCCAAAAGAAAATCTTTCCTGTGAGATGCTACTGTTGCTGTGTTCAGACAGAAGGAGCTGCATACACCCCATTGGTTTAATGTCACAGGCCTTCAAGGGGAGATGAGAGAAACAGATCTCCTACAAGAAGAAAACCAGCACATCAAGTTCTTCCAGAAACTAACCTGCAGCAATTTGATAACAATTTCTTCATGTGGAAGGAACAGCAACATGCTGCAGCTTTGTTACAACTTCTCCTGTTACAGCTAAAGAAGCAGGAGTACCAAGGAATGCAGATGAACCCATTAAGAAGATACACATGAATTTGAATGTGCCTTTTGCAATTTGAGTGCCTACACCCTGACTTGAAGCAAAAAGCCCCACAAACCAACGACCATAAATGCATACAGCCTGATTTAATTACTTTTACATAAGCCTGTGTGAATACCAGCTTAAGAGAGAATACCAGTTTTTCATTATGGCTATTGGAAACCCTAGCTTTTCCTCTCAACATTCATGACTTTAAACACACCAATAGGCCAGAAATCCTGTAACAGCCCACTCAATCCTGATCTTAATATTCATTCTATATAACCAGCTACCATGTATCTGAACATAATGACTTGCACTTTCCTTACTCTGCGGAAATACAAAGCAGCTCAGAAAATTCTGTATCCATTTTGTTGAGCATCTATTTAACACCTTTCAGATAGAAAAGCTCTTAAATGCTAACATCCCCTCCACCCCACCCCCAGTCTTTAAAGATCTGAGACAGTCATACTGTCTCTTGATACAGACTGACAGTATGAAATGTTTTCTACCTAAGAAAAAACATCCATGTAAGCTTCATGGTCCTGATGAGCTGCAATTCATCACGCACACCGTAACATGGAAAATGCAAGGCAAGAACAGATTAGGACCTGAAGTCCTATCTTTTCTTTGAAATCTCAGCATAAAAAACCACTCCTGCACTTCTAGCATAACTTCTTCTTCCAGCTATATCCTGATTTGCAGTGTTTTGAAAACTTCTTAGCTGGATCTCACCCTACTATCTTGAAAAGGAGTAGTGGAAGGGTAGTGGAGGCTCCAGTAGAAGCCTGGAGGTGAAGCAACCAGGTAAAAAGTAAGTTGTCTAGAACAACAATTTTGAAGGAGAGTCCATACAGCCTGTTCTGCATAACCGTTAGATGTAAAGTAATTATCTTAACATATGCACATATCTGGACTAACACAGCACCTCCTGTCCCTCAACTAAGCCCTGAAAGGCAGAATAATCTGCATCACAAACAGGCAAATTAAACCATAGTGAAATCTGCTGGAAAACAAGAGGACACATAAAGAGGAAAAAAGAAAAGCCTTCTGCTAGGACTAGATGTATCTTTCTGACCAGTGCTAAGACTGAGAGACAGAAATTCATGGATGCCTACTCTGACCAGATCAGAGCTCTTTTGGAAGCAGCCATATCAGAGTCTTTGCAAAACCAACATGATTGTCCACATCTGAGTACGTTCTGTGTGGTCTCCATTGTGTGCCACTGCAAACACAGCCTCCTTTTAAATTTTTCTGTGTTTTTCACCTGTTCTTCCCATCACTTACTAGCTGATGTTATATTCATGTAACTGGCATATTCTTTCTTGCACTTCCCCTCCTCCCCTCCCAAACTCCTTTGGGAACAATGATGCAAATATTGTGTGGAAGAAAAGTGAAGCAAAAAGAAAAAAACAAATTATATCAAATACAAAGGATCAAGACTGTAAGTGGAAGTGCTGGATTTTACATACCTTGTGGCTTTTAGGATAAGACTGGACAACTTTAAGGAACTCTATCAGAAGAGCCTCAGTAACTACTACTTCAAGAACAGAAAAATTGTTCTTTTTTTCTTCAATTTCTACTTATTTGAATACTAAGCTGTATTGTAATGAACAATTACATTGTTTAAAATACTGAAATTGCAGTTTTAAGCTGAACACTACCCTTACAAAGAAAGCAGCCTCTGATATGAATGGGACAAATGCTCCTCTCACCATTAAGACACCCAACTGGACTGAATTAAGAAAATCTGGGGGTTTTTTTTTAGTATTTTCAAGTGTTAGTCATAGAAATACTACAAGTGAAACAGTTTTTCTCCAAGACACAGTCAGCAGAAATAGCACCCAGATTCTGGTTCAATTCCAGTTCTATTGGTAGGTTTACAAGTCTGATGCCTCTCATGCATGAGCTTCTTGCCTTCCTTGAAGCAAGCAGTCCTTTCTTTTGAAGGTCTCCTCATTCCATGATCCATGCCTTTCATTCCTCTTTCAAGCCAGATGTCAGAAGGACTCTACTTTTATATTTTTTGTTTTTTATGGCATACAGGCATAAAATAGAAAACGAAAACTCAGAACCCTGCAGGCTACTGATACCCTGTCCAAAACTTGAAACCAAAGGTTCATTGATTCCCAAATCAAACATAAACTGGGAAAGGGGAAAGAGAAAGATGCAGACAGAAACAACTCTGTGATCAGGTATGTTTTCATCAGCAAAAAGAAGAGAG